ATATTTGAGGGACTGCTGTATATCTTTCTTGGCTCAAAAACTCACAGATATACTGCCCAGCCATGTTTTTACCCCTTTTTGTTATGGAATTGTTTCTATTTAAAAGAAAATTTACACAAGCATGCAGTTATTCCCAAATGTATCACACCAATATCCCATTTTTGCAAGATGAATAAAAACAGTGACTACCAGAACTTATGAACAGTAAAGACTGTAAAGTCGTATCTAAAACTTATGTCTTACTGCTACTCACTGAAATTCCACTTGTGCTGTTTTCTGCCTCTTCAGTTTTAAAATTTGCAGTCATTACCAATTAATGTAAACTTTCTGTACTCTTAAGAAAAGTTCACAAATTCGTTTATACCTTTTTTAGTAGATTTTTACTCAGGCATTAAAAGTAATATAAAATTAACGCAAGGAATAATCATTTACCTCAGGAATTTGGATTGTTGAGCTATGTATAAAAATACCAGTGTAATTCCTGATGGTGCAAAGCAGCATATGAGCCAATATCTCATGGGGTCAAATGTTCATGCATTATAAAAGAGCAATTAATTTGAGCTGGAATGGTCACAAATGTCTTTTGTGAAATTTCTGAGAGTAGAACCCAAGTAGCTATCTAGTTTGTGTATATTTAGAGACAAAGAGGAGTTGATAATTATACTTAGAGACATGTGTGTATCTTGTTCAGGAAACAGTGAAGTGTCTGACCTAGCTAAAGAAAAGGATCTACACTGAGAAATAGTGAAGAAAAAAATGGATTACTGAAGCAGGTTGCATTGTAGAGGATCTTCTGTGACCTAAGAAGATAAATTAAGAGCAGTGTTTATTTATGTATGTTTCTAGGATCATTCATTGATAAGCTTCCTCCAAAATGATCTCTCAGGTCAGATGTGGAAAATACTGAGTTTCTTTACTGTGAGTCTTCTCTAAGACATTAATATGTTAATGGGCATTTTGATTTCCAGTAGGAAAATACAGCATTTCCCAAACCTATTTGACCATGGAACCCTTGCTAGGGAAACAGTGCATGGATCAAGTATTCTATCTACATTGGTATCAATCTCAGTCTGCAAACTGTAATATATTAAGATATGTACTGTTTTGTAGTTTTAAATAGTACATTTTATTTCTAGTTTAATCCTTTGTTCCCAGATTGGCAGAAATTCAAGATCTTTCCATTTTCTCCATGAATGTATCCATGTTATGGAGTCTTCTAATGCTAAGGAGCTAGGTCACTGTGGAATGAGGTGTGACATGTATCCACTGTATCATCTGTGTACGCTGGATGTCTGCTGAAATGTCCTACTTGCTCTCTGGTCCCAGGTGATGGGCCTGAGACGTGTTACTCAAATCCACTGGTTCTCTTTGTTCCTTCCATATTGTAATTCTCATGTTGATGGGAATAACTTCACTGATCTGTTCCATGCTGAGGTACGAGAAATTCTGTATGAATGAACAATGCCCCATCTTTCTTAGACTTGTTATGTAATTGTTCTGTGGGGGCGTCCTAATCCCTCTTGGTCTCTACTTATGAAATGTGGCATGTATCCCGTGCCCCTAATGAGTTCAGGCTTTTCCCATGAGGTCTCTACCGAGATCTTCACGCTGTGCCAGGCATGGTTTTTGTTTCCTAGGAAACTAAGTTTTCAAAACTCGTAAGCAACGAAATGCTCTCTTTTTCTCTTATACTTCTGTAATTTCTTCTCCTCTGAGGAAATGATCTAGCTATCCCTTAAGACAGCTCAAGACAAGGAGAAAGGAAGAGCTAAGAAATATCTGAGGGGAAAAAAAATCAATTATTATTTCAAAGTTATTCCCTACCATGCTTCCTAATATCCTTTGCGAAATGCTAGTCTAAAGAATGGAGGGTTAAAAGCTGATGAATAAAAGGATATGTGTGACTGTAATGCTTTCTTGAGTTTTGTTTCCATGTGCGGTAAGTTACAGTATTGTTGTTCATTCATTAGATTGTGTCCAACTCTTTGAAACCCCATGGACTGCAGCACCCAGCTTCCTCTGTCCTCCACTATCTCACTACTGAGAATTGGTGATGCTGTCTAAACCTTTTATCCTCTGCCACTCCCTCTATTGCCTTAGGTCCTTACAAGCATCAGAGCTTTTCTAGTGAGTTGGCTCTTTGTGCATTGAGCTTCAGCAACCAAGGAGCTTCAGTCCTTCCAATGAATATTTAGGGTTGATTTCCTTTAGGATTGATTGGTTTGATCTCCTTGCAGTCCAAGAGACTCTTAAGAGTCTTCTCCAGCACCACAATTTAAAAGCATCAATTCTTCAGCATTCAGCCTTCTTTATGATCCAACTTTCACATCCATACATGACTACTGGAAAAACCAGGGCTTTGAATATATGGACCTTTGTCGGTAAAATGATGTCTCTGCTTTTAGATATGCTATCTAGATTTGTCATTGCTTTCCTTCCAAGGAGCAAGCATCTTTTAATTTATGGCTGCAATCACAGTCTGCAGTGATTTTGGAGCCCAAGAAAATAAAATCTGTCACTGTTTTCACCCTTTCCCCTCTGCTTGCCGTGAAGTGATGAGACTGGATGCCATGATCTTAGTTTTTCTAATGGTTAGTTTCAAACCAGCTTTTTCACTCTCCTCTTTCACCCTTTCCAAGAGCCTCTTTAGTTCGTCTTCCCTTGCTACCATTAGAGTGGTATCATCTGCATATCTGAGGTTGTTGATAATTCTCCCAGAAATCTTGATTCCAACTTGTGATTCGTCCAGCACAGCACTTCGCATGATATACTCTGCATATGAATTATATGAGCAGGGTGATGATATACAGCCTTTCCAAATTATGAACCAGTCTTTTGTTCCATGTCCAATTCTAACTGTTGCTTCTTGACTGGCATACAGATTTCTCAGGAGGCAAGTAAGGTGGTCTGGTACTCGCATCTCTTTAAGCATTTTTCATAGTTTGTGGTGATCCACATGGTCAAAGGGCTTCCGATAGCTCAGGAGGTAAAGATGCCACCTTCAACACAGGAGTCTCAGGAGACATGGATTTAATCCCTGGATCAGGAAGATTCCCCTGGAGGAGGAAATGGAAACCCACTCCAGTATTCTTGCCTGGAAAATCCCACGAACAGAGGAGCCTCATGGGCTACAGTCCACAGGGTGCAAAGAGTTGGACATGACTGAAACAGCTGAGCACCATGGATACATACAGTCAAAGGCTTTAGCATAGTCAGTGAAGCAGACACAGACGTTTTTCTGGAACTCCCTTACGTTCCTCAGTAAATAGTGAATAAACTCATTGTCTTTGTAGTCTTCTGTGGAGCCCTCTTCTACGCTGACTCTTGAAAAGCCCCTGTTGCTGTTGGGAACTCTTCTTCCACCACATGAAGTAGGCCTGTTTGCTGACTGAAGACATGGAGATCAGCCCAGAGCCAGCTTCCAACAGCAGACACATAGGTTACTCCAGCTTAGCTGCCAACTGATTACAGGTTCCTAAGTGATCTTAGTTGAGACCCAAACTGCCAGTTGAGCGTCTCCTGATGTGTTAAAATGAATCATAAGCAAATGAAATGGTTGTTTAACCTATTTTTATTGCATCGATATAAAACTGTACAGTACAGTACAGTACAAAAAAACAGTATAATATGGTAGGAATGAAAGAAGAGATATTTTGGGGGGAATATTTTCTCAAATACGGATATATGGGATCAAGAAAAACTGAAATGGTGTAAGCTGGGACCTTGAAAGGTCTTATTTTTCACTGAATGATCCAAAGTGGTTTTCTTGGTTTAAGTGCCTCATGTTCATTCGTTTTTTGTTTTTTTTTTTTTTTAGTTTACTATTTTTTTTTAAATTTTTATTAGTTGGAGGCTAATTATTTTACATCATTGCAGTAGTTTTTGTCATACATTGAAATAAATTAGCCATGGATTTACATGTATTCCCCATCCCGGTCCCCCCTCCCACCTCCCTCTCCACCCGATCCCTCTGGGTCTTCCCAGTGCACCAGGCCCGACACTTGTCTCATGCACCCAACCTGGACTGGTGATCTGTTTCACCCTAGATAATATACATGGTGAAAAGACAGCCCTCAGATTGGGAGAAAATAATAGCAAACGAAGCAACAGACAAAGGATTAATCTCAAAAATATACAAGCAACTCCTCCAGCTCAACTCCAGAAAAATAAATGACCCAATCCAAAAATGGGCCAAAGAACTAAACAGACATTTCTCCAAGGAAGACATACAGATGGCTAACAAACACATGAAAAGATGCTCAACATCACTCATTATCAGAGAAATGCAAATCAAAACCACAATGAGGTACCATTATACGCCAATCAGGATGGCTGCTATCCAAAAGTCTACAAGCAATAAATGCTGGAGAGGGTGTGGAGAAAAGGGAACCCTCTTACACTGTTGGTGGGAATGCAAACTAGTACAGCCACTATGGAAAACAGTGTGGAGATTTCTTAAAAAGCTGGAAATAGAACTGCCATATGACCCAGCAATCCCACTTCTGGGCATACACACCAAGGAAACCAGATCTGAAAGAGACACATACACCCCAATGTTCATCGCAGCACTGTTTATAATAGCCAGGACATGGAAGCAACCCAGATGCCCATCAGCAGACGAATGGATGAGGAAGCTGTGGTACATATACACCATGGAATATTACTCAGCCATTAAAAAGAATTCATTTGAATCAGTTCTAATGAGATGGATGAAACTGGAGCCCATTATACAGAGCGAAGTAAGCCAGAAAGATAAAGACCATTACAGTATACTAACACATATATATGGACTTTAGAAAGATGGTAATGATAACCCTATATGCAAAACATAAAAAGAGACTCAGATGTATAGAAGAGACTTGTGGACTCTGGGAGAAGGCGAGGGTGGGATGTTTCAAGAGAACAGCTCATGTTCATTCTTGTGCCAGGAAATTCATTTATTTCTGGATGAGATCTGATCATTTAATTCAAACTCAACAAAACCATGCAAATGTTTTGTAAAAAAGTGTTCTCAAGTGTGATATTATAGGATAAAGAAAAGGTAAGGGTAAAGTGTGATTATGGGCACTGTAATCTTCAGGAACTTAGAAAACTGTAGACAGGTCAGTGGATGGACCCATCCTTGATGAGGTCATGGCATCATACTGCAGTTGAACCTTTCTATAAATCACTGTCACTCTCACTGGCTTGGATTCACGAGGTTGTTCTGTTGTCACTGATGAAATGAAAGCAAACAGTTGTCTTAGTTTGAACATATTCTCAGGTATTCAGTTCAGTTCAGTTCAGTTCAGTCGCTCAGTCATGTCGGACTCTTTGCAACCCCATGAATCACAGCATGCCAGGCCTCCCTGTCCATCACCAACTCCCGGAGTTTACTCAAACTCATGTCCATCGAGTCGGTGATGCCATCCAACCATCTCATCCTCTGTCATCCCCTTCTCCTCCTGCCCCCAATCCCTCCCAGCATCAGGGTCTTTTCCAATGAGTCAACTCTTCGCATGAGGTGGCCAAAGTATTGGAGTTTCAGCTTCAGCATCAGTCCTTCCAATGAACACCCAGGACTGATCTCCTTTAGGGTGGACTGGTTGGATCTCCTTGCAGTCCAAGGGACTCTCAAGAGTCTTCTCCAACATCATAGTTCAAAAGCATCAATTTTTCAGTGCTCAGCTTTCCTCACAGTCCAACTCTCACATCCGTATATGACCACTGGAAAAACCATAGCCTTGACCAGATGGACCTTTGTTGACAAGGTAATGTCTCTGCTTTTTAATATGCTATCTAGGTTGGTCATAACTTTACTTCCAAGGAGTAAGCATCTTTTAATTTCATGACTGCAATCACCATCTGCAGTGATTTTGGAGCCCCCCAAAATAAAAGTCTGACACTGTTTCCACTCTCTCCCAGTCTGTTTCCCATGAAGTGATGGGACCAGATGCCATGATCTTAGTTTTCTGAATGTTGAGCGTAGACTCATCTAAATGCCTAATTAGATGGATTGTCATAAAGATTTCCTCAAAGCAATGAGATAAGTGTCATAAAACCAAGAGGTATTAAAAATATAAAGGGACTCATGATTCATGCCCTCAGGTTCTGACTCTAAATGCTGCCTTATAAAAATGAACTGCTACCAGGAAGCTGTGATTAGCTAGGCTCAAGTAGTACTAACTCTAATCTCATAAGAACTTCTACTAGACCTATTAATTGCTTCTTTTCAGATTTATTTTACATCAATTATCTTATTTAATCTTTAGTGCAATCCTAAGATTTAGATACTTTTCATTAACATCTTAGAGATGAAGGAACTGAAACTGAGCTAGAATAACTGGTCAAAGTTAATGCAACTGGTAAATAGTGGTACAAGAGCTTATAGTCTGGAAAGTTGTTTTGACATTAGTCCTTTTTTTGTCAATGATGCTGGTTCTTTTCAACCTATTGCAAAGGCACTAGGAAGCTGCAGTGCCTCAGGGACCACTGACCAGAAAAGGGAAGGAGAGGGGAATAAACCAGGCAGTGCCCTAGGCCCCTCACTCCAGGTTCAGCCCGAGCACGTCTTTTATATATGAGTTTTATTTTAAAAATTTCCAAATGTGATATTTTACCGGGATGTCCATTTTGAACTATGGTGTTGGAGAAGACTCTTGAGAGTCCCTTGAACTGCAAGGAGATCCAACCAGTTCATCCTAAAGGATATCAGTTCTTTCTAATCAGTCCATCAGTCCATCCTAAAGAAATCAGTCCATCCTAAAGGAATCAGTCCATCCTAAAGAAATCAGTCCATCTTAAAGGAAGTCAGTTCTTGGAAGGACTGATGCTGAAGCTGAAACTGCAATACTTTGGCCACCTGATGCAAAGAACTGACTCGCTGGAAGAAACCCTGATGCTGGGAAAGATTGAAGGCAGGAGGAGAAGGGGACGAGAGAGGGTGAGATGGTTGGATGGCATCACCGATTCGATGGACATGAGTATGAGTAAGCTCCGGGAGTTGGTGATGGACAGGGAGGCCTGGCACGCTGCAGTCCTTGACCCCAAGGAGTTGGGTCACTGCAGTCCTTGGGGTCACAAAGAGTCGGACACGACTGAGCAACTGAACTGAACTGAACCATGATGTCTTCTAAAGCTGTATTAGTAGCTTCTTGAAATCAGAACAGTCTTATCCTTTCTTTGATCTCATGTGATGAAACTTCCCATGTCTTGGAGCAGATGGAAATTACTACCCTTAGAATGTGCTTTGGACTCCAGGATCTCCCATTGACCCTGGCAGCCTTGCTGTCTTTTGCATCAAAGTCAGTTACATTATTCACGTACCTGCAACCTTCTCACTGTTATCAGTGATATCAGTGATATCACTGTTATCAGAACTCACTGAGTTCTGTCCAAAGAGAGAAGTGATATCGTCTCCAAATATCTTGAGACAGTTTTCAATGAAAAATTGTATGAAAGAAATCTGTAACACAGAGGGGCAAAAAGTGGGGTATTACTGTACATATGGCGTCATAGTAAATCACATTTCATACATGAGTCTTGGCTCTAACAAAAAATGCAAGAGAAGTCTGAGAAAAATTCACTTGATTTAAAAACTATATATATTATATATACATCAGCTTTTTCTAAGAAATAACTAATACTTTCAAGAGTACTTTGGGCAAAATTTTAAAATTCTTTTAGTCGGTGGACTAAAGTTATAATATGTGGCCTAGTTTAATAGCTAAAATTTTGTAATGATTGTTACATGTTTAAAACTAGGATGATTTTTAAGTAGCCTACATAGGATGTTTGGGACAACAATGTATATTTTCTTATTAAGTTTTATTTATTTTTATTAAATTTTTTTCTCGTTTTATTGAGAGAGAATTTATATATAGCATCTCGTTAAACTTTATAAAGTATCAAATGCAACACAACTTTTGAAATTCCCTTCAGTGAAGAACTCTCTGAAACTTGGGCAGCAGAGGTTTCTGTGTGGGGTGGGGGGGTTTGTGACGGAAGAAAGCATCTGGAGAGAACACATGTCTGTCTGCCTCACTGCATTGCCTTGCCTCACACTTGCTGTCCAGCGGGGCTTGGAAAAGAGCTGTGATCTTCTTAGGCATGTTGTGGCTCTGTCAGGATGTTCTGAAATATTTTATTAGCTTCCTCATCCTCTAGCAGAGACACAATAGAAGCCAAGTATTTTCCTGAATGAGCCAGAACTGGCAGAGTGAGGCCAGTATGTGTGGAGCCTTGGGTGCTCATATTGCCCAGGCCGCCTAAGATGTGCCGAGAGTGACCAGATGTATCGGGTGTTGTCATCATTGTGTAATGATGAAATCATAGTTTGGAGGTTTGTACACGCCTCAGTGATTAGGCTGAGAGTTGAATCTTGGTTCTCAGATTCCAAAGCCAGGTTCTGTTCTATCATACCATCCTACTGTTATCTCTCTAGTGTTTAATCTCTTGGATGGTAAAGGAGAAATGACTCAACTGTTCTCAGTTGCAATACACCTTCCCATGCCCAACCAGAGTAGGACTCTGCCAGTCGAAGGCAGTGTAATTAAAACGTGCACTTTAAAAACTGGTTCATCAGAGTTAATACCACAGACTTCAGGTTCAAAATGGGGACTCTGCCCCGCAAGGCATAAAAATGAGAGATCTCGTTACCTTTTTGGTGAAGTTTTCTAATTCTGTGCTGCCAGAATTAAGCAGACAAAGAATGCTTGGGGTTATATGCACTGATAAATTATAAGCTGACATCTGATTGGATGAGGAATGTTGCTCAATGTTGTGTAACACTCCAAAAAGGTATCGCAGAAAAACTACATTGGCTCTTGGCAGCTGGTCTAGGAGCCTAATGACAGAAAAAGGCACTTATATAAATAAAGCAAGTCATTTTCTTAGTGGAAATACAGAGAACAAAGTACTTCTTTTTATACCATGTCCACAGTCCATTCTCACAGTTCCAGGCATGAATGCATACAAAAATGTTTCACCAAATTTAATTCCTGAGCAAGGTAAGAACTGCTCTGGTTAGTTATGTGTTTGTATTTAAGATCATACCGCTGGCAGATTGGCTCTTTATCATCTCTTTTTAGACCAATGGATTTCATCTCCAACAATTTCGTGTATTCAGAAGGTGTAAAATGGTCAAGCATTCCATATTAATAAGATGAGGAGAGAAACACCAATTACAATGTCACCAATAAGGCATGCATCTCTTTTCAAACTGGCTTCCATGGGTATGATCAAGTGAAACCTTTTGATACTGGTCAATATTTTAGTGGACACAGCTGTAAACTATAAGCTGATATTTTCCTAACAGTATGTTGGTTGTATTTTCTCAGAGTTGAGAAAATTGCATCATTACCTCTGGGTCGCAGTTATTTTCTCCTCCTCATTCCCTTGATCAATAACATCAAGCCATTTATCATAGAGACTGGCTGAAAATATGCTTCCTGGAATATTTCGAAGAAAATCCTTAAATAGATCAAAAAATATATATTAGTCTTATGATCAATTCAATGGAGAAATTGCAAAGAAAATATTTAGTTGAAAAATTCAATTCAGTCTGTGGTTGCTTCACAGCCACGCAGACTGATTCACACAGAGCTTGGCTGTGATTCTCCACAGCCTTGCACACCCAGAAGTGCTGGTTGGATTTTCCCCAACTAAAATCAGAAGCACAAAAGTAGAGTTTGGGCTGTAGTGAGAATGAAGCTAAAGCTCCTTCTATCACCTGGAACTTACTCCTTGTGTTCATGTTAGCACATTAGTACAAACTGGCAAGGTCTGGTGATAACTCATCCTAAATCCAGTTAGTTTCTTGAAAAGAAATGCACATACCCATTTTGTTTGTTTACCTAAGACACACTACTTGCACTTAATTCAAGAAAGAGAAGTTCTGAAATAAAACAAACAAAATTACACCCCTACATGCTCTTATACACATATTAAGAGAAGACTTGAGCTATATGTGCTCTTTGGGGAAAAGCTAGTCTCATAATAGCTTCAATCTTTTTCTTTTTTTTAAACCATATAAAACTTCAGTCCTATAGACTTTTAAGCAGCAGGTGTTAGAAATAAATCAAAAGCCCCAATGGGTAAACTACATGTTACCCTTACAACTCTTTGAATGGAATATATTCTCCCCAAAGAGGAAACTGAGAATTTAGATACATTGCAACTTCACAACTGTGGGATAGAATATGCAAATATAAGCTTCCTAAGTGGAGGCCTGGGAAGTTCATCACTGATGAACAAGTCTTAGTATCATAGAATGGGGCCTTTTAAAATAGATGAAGTTGTAAGCTGTTTTGCAAGACTAAGGGGAATTGATTGCACTACCTTGCCAGTTTCAAAGGCACAACTTGCTTCCACTAGTCTTAATATAGAGCCTGAATTCTCTTAATAGTATCTTGTTGAGGCAATGTTTCTGGGCAACTATCATGATTATAATTCAGTCAGTGTTCACTTGTTTCAGTACTTATTGAGCTGCTGTTTGTGCCAGGCCCTCTTTTGAGTACTGAGGACAGAGTACAATGATAATGTACAAAGTCTCAGTCCTCTCATACTTTTTCTTGTAAGTGGTACACAGTACCCAATCATGGTTATTAGGTTTTCACTATGCTTCTTATGGAGTGTCCACAGTATATTTGGAAGGAGGAAGCACTCCATTTCAGTTCAGTCGTTCAGTCATGTCCTACTCTTTGTGACCCCGTGGACTGCAGCACACCAGGCTTTCCTGTCCATCACCAACACCTGGGTCTTGCTCAAATTCATGTCCATCGAGTTGGTGATGCCATTCAACCGCCTCAGCTGGCTTTGGCTTCTGGGAGTCTGGGAGCGTGCAGCAGGCCTTTGCCTTGTGTACCAAACTACATGCACTTGGAGAGTGTGTCTCTTTCCTCTCTTGGACCCTGTGCTGTAGAATCGCTTGGTGAGACTGAGTATGGTTAAGCCAGGACATGACTCATGCAGAATATGCCATGGGTATTTGCTGTTGGATCTCTGTTTATAGACAGTTTAATGGAAAACTCGATGTGATTCTGACTATATATTCATTTCTGATTTAGACCAACTCTATGGTTGCTTGAACCTATGGTATTATCAAGGCTGAGGTTGCAAAGTCTGATTCCTCACCAAGATCAATCAACTTTAGGAAAAGAAAACTTTGGGATTGTGTAAGACCTGTACCCATAAGTAGCCACCCTCTGACTAGTCTGTGCTTATAGCATGGAAATAGGCAAGAGCCTAGTAACTCTTGCTCAAAACTCAAATCAGTTCCGAGTGTGCACCTTATAGACGGTAGCACTGCACTTGCTATTTGCATACCTAGTGTGTATTATTATGGTGCAAGTGTAGTAGGGGTCAACTCTAAGTTGTATCTGCACTGCTGCTATTACCATACAATCGAACATTAATAGGCGACAAGGGGAGACCATATGTTTAGTTTCTAAGATAATTTTAATAACTGTCTGTAGTTATTACTACATCAATATATTTTTGTTCATAGCTGCTAACAAGTATCAAGATGAATTGATTAAAATTTTTTCCTGTTCTATTATAGCCCTGGTAGAAATTAAACTACACACACTTGTGATTTAGCTGTATCACTTCAAACTCAGTCTATTTTTTGTATAAATCTATTGAATTTTCAAAATTCCAAACTGATTTTGACTGTTGCGCTCACTTTGAAAATAAGTTATATAAGATGAGGCATGTAATAAAACTGGTTACCATGTAACTGTAACCTTGGGTGGTGGGTTAAACATACAAATATTAACAAAGGGTGTTGAAGATGGTAAGGGAGATAAAAGGAGGAACAAATGGTGGAGTCATCCCTACACTAATTTTAAAGTAAAAGGCATTGAGAGACAAGGGAAGGAAGGATGATGAAATGATCAGAGAATTTGGTGGCCTCACTAAGCATTTTTTGATTCACTGTAAGACAAATGGGCTTCCCAGGTGTTCCTAGTGATAAAGAACCTGCCTGCCAATGCAGGAGATGCAAGAGATGCAGGTTCGATCCCTGAATCAGGAAGATCTCCTGGAGAAGGGCATGGCAGCCCACTCTAGTATTCTTGCCTGGAGAATCCCATGGACCAAGGAGCCTGGTGGGCTAGAGTCCATGGGATCACGGAGAGTCGGATAGGACTAGGCGACTTACTAACACACACACATACACCGGAGTTTACCACAGTAAGTAACCATGTGTCTTGCATCCATGCAGAGTTGCTTCAGCCGTGTCTGACTCTGTGCCACCCCATAGACTATAGCCTGCTGGACTCCTCTGTCCATGGGATTCTCCAGGCGAGAATACTGGACTCGGTATGCCAGTCCCTTTTCCAGGGGATCCTTCCAACCCAGGGATCGAACCCAGGTCTCCCACATTGCAGGCAGATTCTTTACTGTCTGAGCCACTTGGGAAGCTACTTCTGTTAACTATTTCCAAAAGCTTAATGTAAATTTTATTTTGGAAATGTTGCCTTCACTACCAAGATGATGAGGAAGTCATCAAAAGCAGGAAGCTTGTTTTGGTAAACACTCTATGTGTAAGTGTGTATTTTGAAATTTATTATTATTCTTTTGCATGGAGTGTTCAGGAGTCAAGATGTGCAATGAAAAAGGAAAATATCATATATGGGGCTTATAATATTTGGGGTACCTTCCTTCAATTTTGGCTTTGTGAAGTGTTTTTCACTTTTTCAAATCCTTCCTCTCTTATGCCTATTATGTTTCTTGGGCAGTCATAATGAAGAACCAGTCATAGAGCATCAGATTTACTCTGTGTGTGGATAATGCTCAATCTTTCCTTACCTTTAAGACGGATGCTACCACAAGAATGGATTCATCATCCAAGTTCACTTTGTCCCCAGAGTTTAGTTTCTCCTTTAGGGCTCTGCGTGATTTTATACTGGCTGATTTTCTGAAGATGCCTTCTGTGAATGGCCCTTTTTGATTGATAAAGGAAAGCATATCCTATAGGGAAGGAAAGAAAAGAAAAATATGGGACGTTTCATATCTACAAGCCCAGAGCACAAGCTTGCTCCTCTTTTGACAGAGCTGTGGTGTATGAGGGTGCAGTGCTAGAACTGGACCGAAGTCAATTTGAAATGTTTTCTTCAGTGTCTCTAAATATATTTTCTACCCAACCATCGATTTGGCATTCATACCCTGAAACATTTTCAACACTTGTGTAATCAGATTTTCCGTTTTAGTGAATTTACCCTGTTAAACGTCTCTGCTTTGAGGCCTTTGTAGATTCACCCTCTCCTCCTTCACTGCTCCTTTCTCATTATTCCCTATTATAGATGCTCTTCTGTAAGTGTGGAAATCTTTTTGCCATATTCATGCTCCATTTGTGTATTCCCCTTTCAGGGACTGGCCACCCCATTCATTCCTATTTCCTCTATTCCGTCCCCTCAAAATCAGGCTCAACATGCCTCTCCTCCTTCTCCGCTCACATTTCTTTCTCATCAGCCTTTCCAGTTCCTTCTGTATTTTCATGTACTCTGCTGTCTGCAGAGTAGAGAGATAACAGATACTGGAGCCAGGTTTTTCAAGGAATGTGGAATCTGTTTTGCTACTTATCCACTGTGTGACTTTAGGCATAGCACATACTTNACGTATTTAATATTCAAATCAAACAGCATTTGGTTATCATTTACTTTTGTAGTAAGTTTCCTGCCTCTGTTCAATTTCCTGTTTGGCTTTCTGAGTACTCAGTCATGCCCAATTTTCTCTCATCCAAAGAATCGCCTTTCATGAGACATCCTGCCTGACCCTGCTTTTCAGTCAGCCTCTGCACCTCTTCTCTGGGAGGCCACACCCCTCAGTCAGCTCCAAGGCTGACTTCCTGCCCTCACGGTCCTTGGGAAGTAGTCATTAAATGCAGACTATGTGGTAAGATTACAGGTGGCCATTTTTCTGTAACACCTTACTCAGCTAACCCAAAGAAGAATTTTAACTACCAACAGCCCCTGTCAAAGGAATGCAATGAAGGGCTTTTCCAAGAAAGAGTGAACAGCAATGAAAAATTGAATTCAAAGTTTCTCGTGCCCAGCTGTGAATGTTTTCCTGATATTTGCTCAATGAACCTGCTTAATATTTCCTTAAATTACCTGCTTAAGTAGCCAGCTGAAGAAGTCAATAGAGGAGCCAAGTTGTAGAAAAATAAACAGAAGAATTTAACGAAATATTTTGAAATGCCATCCACTTGGCTTTTCTGAGACATAGTGAGTGCATCACCATGTCCATTCAAGTGGGTGAGCCACTTGTGGTGCTGGGTGAGAGAACCAGAAGGCTCCTATTCTGCCCCCTAATTGGATAAGTTACCTAAAACTCTTTGAGCTTCGGTTTGCTCAAACTTAACATAAATGATGCTATTTACACCTCACTGGACTACATAACATAATGTACTGCTCCGTGCTATGTCACATAGCAGCCTTAATAAAGGTAATTTCCCTCCTTCAAAGGGCCTAAGGCAGCCTAGACATCAGTCACCTCCCCAACAAGCAGACCCCCACCCCCATTCTCCATTTGAGTTTGCAGCCTCCAGAAGGTGTGCATTCCTGAAGGAATGTCATCGCTTTGCCTTAGGCTCTTCCTGCCTTGACATCATACCGCCATCATTTTCAAAGGAGATGATGAAGAAAGCAAATGCATTCCTAAATCCAGGAAGAGATTCTCCTAATTAATATGCACAAATGTTAAAAAGATACATGTTTATATGGGTAGAGTTGCTTTATGCACCCTGGTTTCCCTGCTCTTAACCTGATTATTTTATTTCTAAAACTACCCAAAGGTATTCATGTATTCCAAATGTATTCATTCATTGTTCAGCTTTAGTAAGAATACTCAGGAAGAAAGCTCTATCAGTTGCTACAAAGCTATACGTCCAGCTACTCTATGAGCATAGACGGAAAGCAAAATAGACATTAAGCCCTATACTTTTATTTTCACGCCTAGATGGACCTTTCGTAATGTACATTGGTTGGTGTTAGAGTTCTTGCTGGCTCAGTGACCAATAAAAATACGTACTGTAGCCACGAAAAGTGTGGTGCTCGGTTGTTCAGTCGTGTCCAACTCTTGCACCCCTGTGGACTGTAGTGCATCAGGCTCCTGTCTGTGGGATTTCCCAGATGGTAATACTGCAGCGGGTTGCCAGGGACTGTTAGACAGGTTAACTTTATAACCTCATCTTTCTTAAACAGTCCTGACAAGATTTAGGTCAGCGTTTCGTCCTGTTCCAATTAGGGTTTGAATGTTAAAAAGTCAAATTTTGAAACTTTGTGGGTATAGAATAACAATTATAAGAGTAAAAATACTTTAAGTAGAAATTCTATTCTGGCCCCAATACTTCTTAAATTAGTGAGATATTTTATTCAGAGAAAGAAATATCAATGGGACAATATTGGAATGGTAGCAGGGATGATTGCAAGAGGAAAAATTAAAAAAATAAACAAACACATAAATATTCAGTCCAGTTCCATTCACAGCCTGGGTCTGAAGCGGAATGGAAAGTGAGCTTGCTGTGGAGGTAGAATCGAGATTCAAGTCTCAGGGGTCGTCCTAAGATGGCAGAGGATAGGACGGGGAGAAAACTTTCTCCCCCACAAATTCATCGAAAGAACATTTGAACGCTGAGCAAATTCCACGAAACAACTTCTGAATGCTGGCAGAGGACATCAGGCGCCCAGAAAGACAGCCCATTGTCTCTGAAAGGAGGTAGGACAAAATATAAAAGATAAAGAGAGAGACAGAAGAAGCAGGGACAGAGATCCGTCCTGGGAAGGGAGTCTTAAAAGAGGAGAAGTTTCCAAACACCAGGAAACACTCTCATAGCGGGTCTGTGGGGAGTTTTGGAATCTCAGAGGGCAACATAACTGGAAGGAAAAATAAATATATAAATAAAAACCCCACAGATTATGTGCCTAATGGCAACTCCCAGCAGAAAAGTAGCCCAGACGCTCGCATCCACCACCAGCAAGTGGGGGTAACCCGGGAGGCGTGGGCTGCATTGCTTAGGATAAGGACCGGGCCTGAATGCCCCAAGGGCAATCTGAGGGAGCTAGTGTGACATGGCAATCCAGACTGTGGGATAGCCACAGAGAGAGAAAGAGAATTGTCCTGAGAAAAGCCCTAACCTGAGACATTGCCAGACATCACCACATACACATGCACATCACCAGATGGTCAACAGCGAAATCAGATTGATTATATTCTTTGCAGCCAAAGATGGAGAAGCTCTAAACAGTCAGCAAAAACAAGACCAGAAGCTGACTGTTTCTCAGATCATGAGCTCCTTATTGCCAAATTCAGACTTAAACTGAAGAAAGCAGGGAAAACCACTAGACCATTCAGGTATGACCTAAATCAAATCCCTTATGACTATACAGTGGAAGTGAGAAATAGATTTAAGGGACTAAATCTGATTGACAGAGAGCCTGATGAACTATGGATGGAGGTTCGTGACATCGTACAGGAGACAGGGATCATGACCATCCCCATGGGAAAGAAATGCAAGAAGACAAAATGGTTGTCTGAGGAGGCCTTTCACAGGAGACCTGTGAAAAGAAGAGAAATGAAAAGCAAAAGAGAAAAGCAAAAATATTCCCATTTGTATGCAGGGTTCCGAAGAATAGCCAGGAGAGATAAGAAAGCCTTCTTCAGCGATCAATGCAAAGAAATAGAGGAAAACAACACACTGGGAAAGACTAGAGATCTCTTCATGCAAATTAGAGATATCAAGGGAACATTTCAGGCAAAGATGGGTTCGATAAAGGACAGAAATGATATGGACCTAACAGAAGCAGAAGATATTAAGAGGAGGTGGCAAGAATACACAGAAGAACTGTACAAAAAGGATCTTCATGACCCAGATAATCACAATGGTGTGATCACTCACCTAGAGCCAGCCATCCTGGAATGTGAAATCAAGTGGGCCTTAGAAAGTATCACTATGAACAAAGCTAGTGGATATGATGGAATTCCAGTTGAGCTATTTCAAATCCTGAAAGATGATGCTGTGAAAGTGCTGCACTCAATATGCCAGCAAATTTGGAAAACTCAGCAGTGGCCACAGGACTGGAGAAAGTCCGTTTTCATTCGAATCCCTGAGAAAGGCAATCCCCAAAAATGTTCAAACTATCGCTAGTAAAATAATGCTCAAAATTCTCCAAGCCAGGCTTCAGCAATACGTGAACTGAGAACTTCAAGATGTTCAAGCTGGTTTTAGAAAAGGCAGAGGAACCAGATATCAAATTGCCAATATCCGCTGGATCATCGAAAAAGCAAGAGAGTTCCAGAAAAACATCTATTTCTGCTTTATTGACTATGCCAAAGCCTTCGA